AAAAAAAAAAAAAAAGAAACTATGTTATGAAATAGAGCTATTGGAAGGAGAATAAAGTCCACTTGTTTTCTGGTGCTACAGATTGAACCTGGGGTTTTGTGAATGGGTAGGCAAGTTACTCTACAACTCTGAGCTTTTGTTAGACAGGGTTTTGCGTGCAGCCCAGGGGGACCTAAAACTTACAGTGCAATCAAGGCCATCTTCCTGCTGCAGCTGCCTGAATGGAATTCATTTTAATGAAGTTGGCTTAGTTTTCTTAAACTTATGAACAGTATCGAAGCATTTATGTTTTATTTAATTGATATAAACAAATACAAAGCCAGGCATTGGTGGCTTACGCCTGTAATCCTAGCTACTCAGGAGCCTGAGATCTGAAGAGTGTGGTTTGAAGGCAGCCCCAGTAGAAAAGTCCATGAGACTCTTATCTCTAATAAAAACTAAGAAAAAGCTAGTAGTAGTGCAGTGGCTCAAGTGGTAGAGCACTATCCTTGAGCAAAAGAAGTTCAGGGATAGTGCCCAGCACTGGTGGAAACAGACTTTCTTGCCTGGGCTGACTTTGGACCTCAATCCTCAGATCTCAGCCTCCTGAATAGCTAGGATTATAGGTGTGAGCCCCTGGTTGCCCCGGCACTCATAAATTTCTAAGAGAAGTTAATTTCTAATTGTTAATGTAATGTTAACATAATGTAAAAAGTCAATTCTGTAAAAATCAACAACAAAAAAAAAATCTATTGGGATAGAAAATATTCTGCTAGGCTGTTAAACACAAATTATCTATTTGTAATCTTCCCTAATACATTTTCATATCTAGTATTTAGTATCACTAAATACACATATTTAGTGATAGAAATATATCCAGACAGGAACTAGAAAATATCAGAACCGCCATATTCTAGTACTTTTCCGAGTATGGTAGCCTGCTTCTTGCACTATTAGCAAATTCCCCACATACCTATTGCCACATGTGAAATCAGCTGGCTTCTACTATGGTGGTTTCACTATATGATCTTCCTACTGTGCTTCCCTATGCCTTTGCAGATGACAGTATGAATACCACTGTACCCAGCCATTGTACTCTTTCCTCCTACTCCTAACTGGAATTATAGGTGTAAGCCGTGGTGGCCAGCCAGTCCTGGGGCTTGAAACTCAGGACCTGGACACTGTCCCTGAGCTCTTTTGCTTAAGACTGGTACTTTACCAGTTGAGCTACAGCTCCATTTCTGGCTCTTTGTTAGTTAATTGGAGATATACTTTGCAGCCTGGGCTGGCTTCAAACTGTGATCCTCAGATCTTAGCCTCCTGAGTGGTTTAGGATTACAGGAGTGAGCCACTGGCACTTGGCTTTTGATTAGACTTAATTAAGATTTACAATGTAACATGAAATACTTGGACTCACATGTACAGTGAGTTATATAGTACAGTTGTAGGTCTTGATTTGTAGGGTTGGCTCATAATGGTCATTGATAGCTTATAACATGAAAATTTGCAGATCTTTTGAAATAAGCAGTCACAATTTTTTGCTACATTTTAATTTTTTTATATTATTACATGGTTATGGGGGTTCACTGTGATATGCATATATATGGTCATATTTACCCCCTCTACTGGTGTTTTATTGAAACTTTTAGATATTTTAATGTATATGTTTGATTTGTTAATTATCATGAAAGTGACTATAATATACTTATATAGATCTGAATGTGGTAATGCATGCCTGCAATCCCAGCATTCAGAAGCAGGAGTATCATATCATGAGTTTGAAGCCAGCCTAGCTATATATGAGACCCTATTTTCCTCTCCCAGATACATATTATTGCCATAATATATACTATATATAATACTATATACTATAATACTATATAATTATATATATATATATATGTTTTGAGTCAGGGTCTTACTTTGTAGTCCATGTGTCTTGTAACTTATGACCCTATTTTTGTTTCTCAAGTGCTGGCTCCAAATACTGGTATGATAAATATTTTAAGAACGATAAATCGTAGATTCCCACAGTATTAGCACTTATCTCTGAGATTACCTTCAGGATGTAGAAGTGTTTCTATAATGTGAGATGCACAAAAGTGAAGGCTAAATGACAAATGATTTTTCCTTCTCCCAGTGTAATTATGACTCAGGAGATGTAGGGTGACACATGCTTGGAATTCAAAAACGTTTGTAGTGATAGCTTTCTCCTTTCTCCTTTAAGAAGATCTACTATGGGTAGTACTCATGGTTAGTGGATTTTGGCTGGCGTGCGTGCGTGCGTGTATATATGTATGTATGTTTCTCTAGGGATCAAACCCCAGGGCCTTATGCATGCTGAGCAAATGTTCTATGACTGAGCTCTATCCCCAGTGCTTATGTTACCTCTTCACTGACTACAGAGCTTATTTTTCCTAGGGCATCATAGTACTCTGTAGAGAAAGCATTTTCATGTCTTAGTTCCTTCCTATTAATTCTGTGACACTGAATAACTGATTTAACTTTTCTATACTTCAGCTTCATTATTTTTTTCTTTTTCAAAATTATTTTTTTAATTTTAATTGTTACTATAAAGGTGATATACAGAACAATTATAGTTATATAAGTCAAGTAAATAGTACCCCTTCCCTCACTTTCTCCCAGTTTTTCCCTCCCATCCCCACCCAGCTTCCTCATTTTCAAATGAGTATCACTAAACATTCTGCTTGGCAATGGCATATAACTTCTATCTTTAGTTGTTTTAAAAATAGAAGTGGGCTGGGAAGGTGGCTCAGTGGTAGAGTGCTTACCTTGTATGCATGAGGCCCTGGGTTCGATTCCTCAGCACCACATAAGCAGAAAAAGCTGGAAGTGGCTCTGTGGCTCAAGTGGTGAATGCTAACCTTGAGCTGAAGAGCTGAGAGGGACAGTGCCCAGGCCCAGGCCCTGGTCCCACAACCGACCAAAAAAAGAAGGAGCAGGAGGAGGAGGAAGAGGAGGAGAAAGGAAGGAAGGAAAGAAAGAAAGAAAGAAAGAAAGAAAGAAAGAAAGAAAGAAAGAAAGAAAGAAAGAAAGAAAGAAAGAAAGAAAAAGAGAGAAAGAAAGAAGGAAAGAAGGAAAAGAAAGAAAGAAACAGTTGCAATGTTAGGATCAAACCTAAGGCTTTGTACATGCTAAGCCAGTGGTCAACCACTGAGCTACATTCCCAGCCTTTGTGTTTTTTTTGAGATAGACTCTTTCTTTGTTTCTCAGACTGGCCTTGAACTGATGATCTTCCTGCCAGTACCTCTCGAATTCTGTGATTATAGGCAGTACTCCCACATCTAGTATTTCCACACCTATATTTAGCTATTATCAGCACATGAGAAGCTATTGTAGAATAGCTTTATGTTTTATTTCCCAGTGAATTGTTGATGATGATATTTATTAAACATTGAATCCTTTCTCTGTTTCTTTTTTCCTATAGGGTGAACTTTCTCATGATCAAGATGTGGTAGAATATATCATGAATCAGCCGAATGTTGTCCCACGAATCAATTCTAGGATTTTGACAGCTGAGAGAGAGTACCTGGATTTAACAGCAAGTAGTAAGGACCATTTCAGAAACAAATTTTGGCATTTTGATTTGTTTAATATTTTTTGCATTTATTCAGTTGTAATGTAAGATGACATCAATAATTTATGTTTAAGCTTACTGTGCTTTGATTTCTAAATTCGTAAGAATTTCCTTCTAAGAAGATAATTTTTTTTCTGTATAAAATCTTGTTAACTTCAGAAAATACTCAGTGACACATAAGTGCCAATTAAACAAGCACTAATATAGATCTATTGTTGGTGTCTTGTGGCCATAGGCAGTTAAGCAATTCTTTTTCTTGCTTTCATTGTAGAATCAGTGACCAATGATATCAATGAATATTTCAACTAATTTTACTCTGGAATTCTAATGCTTTTTAAAAAAAAAAAGTTAGTTCTGCCTGGTGTGGTTGTGCATAGCTATAACCCCAGCAGCACATAGGAGGTTAAAGCAGGAAGATTGCATGCTGTGACCAGCATAGGCTACACAATGAGTTAAGAGACCAACCTAGAGTTCACTGTGTTTTGGGTTTTTTTGTTGTTTGTTTTTAGAGCTGGTTCATTAGATAAAATATGCATGCCATGAAGCTCAACCTTTTTCTTACAGTGCTGGGGTTCAAACCCAGGACTTCATGCATGCTATGCAAGTGTTCTACCACAGAACTGCAATCCCAGACAAAATCGCAGCTTTTTAAAATACATAATTTAGTGGTTTTTAGTTTATTCTCAAAGTTGTAGGCATCACCACTAATAAAAGAACACCATTATTACCACAGAAAGAACCCATATACTGCTGAGAGTGGTGGTTTGTACTTGGGAGGCTGAGACAAGAGAATTGCAAGTTTGAGTCTAGCTCTGGTTATGTGCCAAGGCCCCACCATAAGACAAAACAAAACAAAGCACACATATATTCATTAGTAGTCTCTCTCCATTCCTCTTCCTGCTCTTTGTCTTCCACTTTCAATTTCAGTTGGCATCTTTAAGAATGCTTTTTAGAAGCTAGGTTGAATCCATGTGTAGTTTGTGCTTTATATCTTCTGTTGTGATACTGAAGGCCACTGCAACAAACATTTAAATATAAGAAAGAGCTGTCAACATTTAACCTGTCATGATTTTTTCCTCGGTGGGGAAGGGAAGATATGTGGTATCATAACAACTGTTTGTCATTGTAGTTGAGTAGAATACAGATCTATTTATGGTTGTTACTTTATGGCATATGAAACTGCAGTTCTGAAACTGAAACTCTTTTAGACAGATGAAAATACAAATATATGCTAATCTTTTAAATACATATGTATGTATGTAATAGTCATAAGCATAAATACAGAAGAAAGTATAAATATAGACATATTTTTAAAGAAACTGCTCAGAAAGTGAGCTAAGTTATTTTCTTCAAAGCTAGTGCTAGCTTCTTATAAGAAGTTTTGGTGTTGGGTAAGGCAAGCAGAATTTAGGTTTTTCTTGGTGAAGGGTAGTGCATTAAGAAGGACTGTAGAAATGCCAAGTGAATATCCTTTTCTACCAAGTGTTGTGGTAATGAGCTCAGAAAACACTGCTGGGCCATAATAGAGCTGTGTGGATGTTATTGAACCTGGTACAGGTGTCTGTGAAGAGGCATTGCCATCCTACCCTCCTTTCCTTCCTCTTCCCTCTTTTGTCCAACACCCAGACTCGAACTTGGTACCTCATACTTTTGCTCATTGGCTGGCTCTCTACTAACTGAGCCATGCTCCAACCCTTTATACTCCTGATTAAATGGTGGTAACATCATTACTGAGGCTTCTCTAGTTTTTATGGTGCTGGGACCTTGCAAAATGTATTACTTGTATTAGTTTCTCTGCAACAAAATATTTGGAAGAAGTCAACTTAAAAGGAAGAATAATTTATTTTGGCTTATGGTTTCAACAGTTTTATCCTGGGTAGTTGGTTCCATTGTTTTGGTTGCTGTGCTAAGATAGAATATCATGTAAGGGACTACTTTGGTCCCAGTATTCCCTTAGAGGATTTGTCCCCAATGACCTAAGATTCCACCACCTTCCAGTAGTTCCACAGGCTGGTGTCCAAGCTTTTAACAGTAGGACTTTTGGGGGGGAGGCATTCAAAATCCAAACTGTAAGATTGTCGTGTTCCTGCTTCATGTGATTCTGTGAAGCATGTCTGATTGCATAGGAAAGCATTGTTGAATGAAAGGATAGATGATGAGTAGGTAACCAGGCAAGTGTTCTAGGTGAGAGTATCATGTTGTAACAGTGCTTAAGACTGGGGAGATTACTGCACACTAGACTGGAGAACTTTTTTTTTTTTTTTTGGGTCCGGTCATGGGGCCTGAACTCTGGGCCT